ATAAGATAAATATAAAAAATAAAAATAAACATAACCACTCTAAGAGCAGTCCAGTGATACATATTGCTTATATTAACTTCTGTAATAAATACATACTATTTCATATAGACAAATAGTAAAAAGAACATGGAAGCGAAGCACCGTTTTCTAAGCGCAGACCGGAGCAGCGCAGGTGCACGGGAGGCACAGACAAACAGAACGAGCCATTTCCATCGCTCCCATCCTTCCCATCCTTCCCATCCTTCCCACCCTTCCCACCCCGGCTCCGGCAGCACACGGGACTGGGGGTCCGCCACCCCCGCCTTTCCCCGAGGGCCCCGTCCGCAGCGCAGCCGGGCAGGGGTTCATCCCCCCCGGACTCACCCGCGGGGCTGTGGAGGGGCTGTGGAGGGGCTGTGGAGGGGCTGTGGAGGGGCTGCCCCGAGCCCCCGGCCCCGCTGCGGCCCCGGCGGTGCCGCCGCCCGTGCGGCCCCGCAGCCCCCGCCCCGCTCCGCCCGCCGGCCCCGGCCCCGCCGCGGCCCGCACTGCCCCGGCCCGCACTGCCACGGCCCCCTGGCGGCACGGAGGACCGCCCGCCTCCCGCACGCCTCCCGCACGCCGCTCGGGGAGCGGGGGGAGCGGCTTTTTTACCCTTTTTATGTCGCGTTACCGCTAAAATTCCCTTCTCGGGAAAAAAAAAAAAAAAAAAACAAACAAAAACAAAAAACAAAACGGGGACTCCCCGCGCGCGGCCACGTCTTTTTTTAAATATGGTGTTTGTAACAAAGATAAATAAACAAACAGTGAGGCAATGAGGGCCGGGCCCGGCCGCTCCCCTCACGCGGCGGGGTTTACCGGCCGGCACGCGGCCCGGGGAAGGGAGCCTGGGCAGCACCGCGGGTACTCCTGCTTAATAACAGATCGGTTATTAGCATATCAGTGTGTCAGAAAAACAAACCGAAAGCTTTGGGGGCCCCGTGCGCTTCATTTCTTTTAGACCTGAGAGAGGAATCTACTTGTTTGTTTGTTTGTTTATTTGTTGCTGAGAGCTGGGCACCGAGAAACCCCAAAGACGCGTGAGGTGAACCGGAGATGCCCCATCTGGGGAAAAGATAACAGGAAGACTGGTAATGAAAAGACTAAAAATGTGGATTAATTAGCGCGAGAAGCGAGAAACCGACAACGGATAGAAGATAGAATACTGATTAACAAAGAGAACTATGTGACTTGCAAGCCACTGAACTAATTCCTGTGTTTGCTGAAATAATTAAAAGTTTTGATAAGTGGTGTACATGCTTTGTGGAGTGATCCCCGTGTACCTCAACACTGAATAAAGCAATGTCAACTTTCTGTATTCCATCTAAATGTGTCTTTTATCCCAAACACTAAGCATTCCTTTGTGGAGTGAGCTAACAGAGAAGTTAATTGGAATATGACTATAACAAGGGTTGGGGACCTGAAACTTACCCATTTTCCAAGTGCCTCTGTCTCAAGCAGGTTCCGCTGTACTTATTTCAGCAAGGCAGAGAGAGAAATCAGCTCCATCAGAAGCAAAACATTACAAGTTACGAAGAACGAAAATGTAACCCAAGGAAAAATAAAAAATGACCCTCCAAGACAATTAAAAATGAGATCAAGGTAATTCAGGGCAACAACATTGATTAAAGGACTGAAGCATTTCTTATGAGGAAAGGCTGAGGGAGCTGGGGCTGTCCAGCTGCAAAAGATGACTGAGAGGGAACCTCATCAATGTGTACAAATATCATTAAGGAAAATTGAATGACTGAAAAAATTCCTGTAGAGAGACCCAGTTTCATTCAGCTGTGGTCTTAAAGTGCCTCTTAGTAAAGGTATAGGTGCACAGCATCCCAAAAACTCACACCTGCCCTGTGCTGGCCACGGAGAGAGGCTGGGATACAAAAGAGAGAAACCCTGGAGAGCACACCAACAATGCCAAAGTTTCCAGTAAAATTCCATCACCTCATGACATTGCAGTGTATAATCTGAATACATATATAGATATTTAAAACACTTTCATACTAGAAAAACTGGTTGCTGTATAGTTAGGAGAGCAATTTTCATAGCAATCACTTTATTGATCTAGCTTTCAGGAAGGGGAATGGATTGAGAATCCTTTTTCTAAGCAGAAAAAAGAAAGCCACCTTCATCTCTCTACGGTGTTGAACATACAAGTACAAAAGGAAGCTGTACATCACATCTGACAGTGGCAGCTTTTGTATTTTGCCTTCTGTAATCTTTCAGATAGTCATTTTTTGTGTGCAGACTGCAGCTGTCCAGCAGTATCTGGCACTGCATTCTGGGCTACAGCCCCATCATTCCCCACACAAGCATCACTTGGTCCTATAGACCACAGAACACAGAATAAACCTTCATTTACAGGAGCCTACAACAGTAACATGACAGGGAACAGGAAGGAAGAAACACATCAGACTTTAAAACTAATTAGATTTCAAGATGTGTTTGTCATTTGAATCATTTTAATCTTTCCCAGTCTTATCTTTGCTTTTTTCAATGCAGCCTAAATGATACTCATACAGCCAAACTCCCTTGCTATGATGTCAGCCCTGGAACTGACTGTATTTAAGCAGCAAGATCCAAGCCCCTCAGAGAAACATTAAACTCTCTTCCAGCTGGAGGAACACCGTTGTTATTAAATGCATTTAATATTTATGTAACAGCAGCATCCAGATGCCCCAGTTAGTGCAGCCTCAAGTTACTTACTGTGCAGTTCTCTGCTGGAGCTATTTTATTATTTTAGCAGTTCCTTTTCCTTTTTACAAAATAAAGCCGCTCACTGGTCAGCCTCCTCTTTTCTCTCACTCCAAAAAGCAGTGGGAGGAAATTGCTTGCTCTGCCTGTCTGCTTTCTTCCCTGCACCTGCTCCTTTTCACAACTTCCTGCATCCTGAAATACCATGGAGACATCCCACCTCATCTCTGATGAGGGATGGGAAAACCAGAGCAGGACTTCCCACAGGATGAAGCCAGTTCCCATCCACCGGGTGTACCAGCCCCACATTCCTAACAGTACCATGAACATTCCAAGCTCTCCACGCAGAAGTTCAAGTCCACAACAGCTGGTTGCAACCATGAGGAAGGCAGGAAGCAGCATGAGGGAGGAATTAACGGTAAAGACAGGTCACAAGAATGAATTTCTGATGTTACTACCCCTTCCATTTGCTACCTCCTCCTTCTTGTTCCTGTGCAACCTGTGACCCCAAAAAACCAGAGACTACTGGTTATGACAGCAGTGAGTATTGAGAAGTAGATGCAGGGATCATCTAATCATCTTCTGATAATTAGATCTGATGATTAGAGGGCCATTAGTATATAAATGATAAGAGCTGAGGCTGAGGTTTAAGTCATGCCACTAACTCAGAAGAGAGCAAACCATTTAGGTGGTTATAAAATGAAGCTAAACCAAGCAAGAGCAGAATGGCAAGTTCCCCAGCACTCACTGCAGAGGGCAACAGACACCTCTGCACAGTGATACGGATCATCCCCCTGAATTCATCTTGCATCATCCTGTGTCTATCCAGCACCTGCACTTCCCACTGAAGATGGCCCAAAGTTTGGAGTCCCTGGGGCTCAAGCTCCATTTTGTGACACCCACCCAAAGACTGGGAACAAAGCCAGGCACCAGGATGTGCTGGGGGCTCCCCAGCTGGCAGAACAGGACTTGGGGCTCCTGCTGCTCCTTCACTAGACTGTCTTACCGTCACAAAATGGAATTTTAAATCAAATTCCAGTATTTCATCTAAGATTTTAATGGCTCTGGTCACCTGTCTTTGAGGACTGGCCATGAAATCTGGACATGACACAGCAGCAGTGGCAGAAGTGCCAAAATTCAAGAGCAGTCACTGCTCCACAGCCTGCAGGAGAGCTCATCAAGCAGCCCACTGCAGGCTCAGAAAAGGCAAACCTAACAGGAATCAAACAATGTTGCTGTTTCATCCTAACAAAAAAAGTGGCCTTCTGCTTCTCAAAACTGTTTCTGGAAGAGGAAGGAAGGAGAAATATGATAAATTAGATACAAAAAGTGTTCAAGGCTATAAACAAAATATTAAAAACTATTGTTTGAGTTATTATCAGATAAAATACAGAGCCACTGTTTGCACTTACTAAAAAGGCAGAATATTTTTCATATATGCAGACCATACAGCAATAAAACAAGTTAAAAGTGCCACCAAGAGAGATGTTAACAATACAGCAGAGGAAAAAGGCTGCAACCAAGATGATTTAAGCATAAGTAATCTATCAGCTTGTCCAACAGAAGACACCGATCTGCTACAAACCTTTCCCCCTTTACACTGAGTCAATGCTTTAATACTTTTTCACCTGAAGTGAGCCTGAGTTTGGTCGCTGTGCAGATACTGTCCTCTAGTGTCTGTTTTTGTTAATCAGCTGGGGAATAAGGAAGAAGTCTCCTTGCAACTTGCTGAGAGTCCCTGGATGGGAAGTCTGGATGCACCTCACGTGGAAATGACTGGGGTTGTATCCCACTGTAAATACCAGGCTGACAAATCACCTCACACTCGCTCCACATATTCTTTTTTGACATTTTTATTAACCAAAGACAGGGTGACTCCCATGTTTGGAGTCACAGGACAGATCCCAGGATACTTGCACAGCTATGACAAGCTTAACCAAGAGGCACGTGGCAGAGCTCGCCACGGACACGGAGCAACCCCTCGTCGTGCTGGGGAACTGGCACCACTGGCACCCTGCAGAGGGGCTCCAGCAACAGGATATTCCACTGGCAACGGGCCACGACCCTGGGGGGGACACACCAACAGCTCCAGGAGAGAAAAAGGAGAATTTGGCATTGCACTGACCAACAGGGGCCCAGGTACTGCAGACAGACCAAAGGTGTGCCCACCACGGAGTATTCCCAGCTCCAGATCTCTTCCACACCCAAACTGAAGCTGCTTTTTGTCATGCTATATAAACACACTTCTACTGTGCATTGGCATTTATAGAGTTGCAAAAAAGTCAAAAAAATAAAGTTCTGCAAGATATTAATACTCTTAGGTGGAAGCTTGAAAGGTTAAGTTTACATGTCACTGTTTTCCACAAAACCCAGCTAGGTGGGAAAGTAAACTAGATGTGCCATTTCAACTCTTTAGCATTTTATAATCAATTTTCAGTATACCAATAAATACTCGGTGCAAAGCACATGCTCAGTTAAAATCCTAGGCGTGGATAATGTACAAGGAAAATAAAAAAAGAAGTCAGAACATGTTGTCTACATGCTGACAGAAATATATTTAAAAGAAAAAAAAAAGGGAAAAGTGTTCCTCACTTACAGCATTATTTTGGTTTTGGCTTAAGAAATGTAGATGCTTTCTCCCAAAATAACAGTACTTGACAAGGTTATATCACGGGCTTGTAAAAATAAAAAAAAGTTACAGTGATGGAAACAAAGAGCCATCTCCATCACTTTAAACCCAACACTTCCATCCTCAGAAGCCTGCAGCAAGGTTACACTTATGAGTCAACACTTCTTGTGGTGAGGGCAAATCCAAAGAAAAACAAAACAAACCCCACAGAAATGACACCCAATCATTACAGTTTATGGGACAGGAAAAATATGATGGTTTCCAGCAGAAAAACTGTAGTGTTCCTTCTCTCCCACCTCACCCACGGCAGTTTGCCCAAATTCTCCCCGTGATAACAATACTTCTTAACAAGTTCTCTTCCCCATGACTATGGGGGCAGATCAAAACACCTCAGTAACTGGTAACAACACACACCTTCCCAAGAGTGGAGACTGATCTAACAGCTAAAACCTCAGGAAACAGAATTTAGAACAGAGAGATAATGTTTCTGCACACGGATAGGAACTGAAACTGTGAGAAGTACAACATAGAAAAGAGTTAATGGTCTTGTGTAATTTCAGCTTGGAAGTACAGCATAGAAATGAGGATATTACAGGAGCATCCACAACAGGGCCATTACAGAGGCAACACTGAAGGCTGCTTTGTTAACCCCAGTAATGGCCCCCTCATTGCACAGGTCGTGTTGGCAGCAGAAGAACTCAAAATTATCCAGCTGGAAGAACTCGGCAATGTCAGTCATGTGGCACTGGGATCTCTTCCAGCAGGAGAAAGTTCTCAGGGTACCTATGGAAAAAAAAAAAAAACACAACAATTAAACAGATTAGGAGCATATTGGCAGTAACACCATTGTTGGTATGACGAGAGAAGCACAAAACAGTGGAGAAAATGCAAAGCTGAAGGTGTGACACGGTGTAAGCAGCTGGATGGAGGTCCATGTTTGTGTTGCCATGGCATCGGGGGGGAACGAGGAGTGAGGTGGGAGCTGTACAGCCTCCCTTACACCTGACACCCACACGTTTTGTCCACCTCCTGCCAAGAACTAACCCTTACAACGTGCCCACAGCTCTGCAGGTCCTGCCATCATCACCAGCAATCCAAGGGACATGCAGATGCTGGACTCAATAAATCCCTTCTCAATCCCCCCAGGGATGGTGACTCCACTGCCCTGGGCAGCCTGGGGCAGGGCTGGACAGCCCTGTCAGGGAGCCACATGCAGGAGACAGAGCTTGAAGAGCACATCAGGGTGGTCAGACATTGGCAGAGGTTGTCCAGAGTGGGGGGGGATGCTCCTTCCCTGGAAACATCCAAGACCAGGTTGGACAGAGCTTTGAGCAACCTGCTCGAGCTGAGAATGTCCCTGCTCATTGCAGGGGGGTGGGACCAGATGATCTTTAAATATCCCTTCCAACCCAAACCATTCTGGGATTCTGTGAGGAGTCCTTCACTCTCGGGAAAAGAGAACTTATTTTAGTAGTGACAATTTACAAACAGCAGAGTTTTCATCTGCAGGTGTATTTTGTGGGCTGCACATTCTTTATGTTCTTAAAGCACAACAAATTCAGGGCAAAGGGTTTGCATTTCAAAGTCAGCACCATCCCCTATTTTTTTCCAGCTCCCCTGGATGCATTTTTATTTGTTTGTTTGTTAAATCTGGACATACAGACATCTGTATATATGCTTGTAGAACTATAAATCAACTGCCTAAATCATCAGTACATTATCAGTTGCTTCCATGTAAGCATGACCTTCAAAAGGATTTGCAACCTTGCTTTGAGTGAGGCTTAGAAATGCATGCTAAGGCCAGATTAGAGATGCACAGGTGATGAAAACTGAGACAAGTTGTGTTTATTTTCGGTCTGTCAGACACCATACATACCAAATCTCAGCTGCAAGCAAGTATCTTCATTCATTAGGCAAGTGCTGTTGGACCTGCACAGGGTAGGGCTGTTTTCGCAGTGGTAACATCTCAAGGTAGAACCTAAGACAGCAAGGGTTTATGCTCACTGAATAATCAGCTACTGAGACAGCAGCAGCATTAGAAACAGCAACAACAAAATCACTGTCTGCAACTAACTGTCACAAAACACATGCCTGGTTATTAAACTTCAGCTAAAATTATAGATCTCAAGACTTCAGCTAAAATCAAGCTTCTGTCAGTTGTACAAATCGAGACTGGGAACTCTAAAAGGCAGATTTTGAAGCCTGTACTCATGTCATTTTTAAAAGCACCATTATATACCTGCAGAACAAGGTATTACATTTTTGCTTCTTTTACCTGCTCTTAAAAATATTGCCTTTTCCAGGCAGGAAAGGACAGGCAATGACACTTTCAGCAGAACTTTATTCCATCCCTATTTTATTTCATATCTCTCCCTCATGCTACGAAGTAGTTCCCAATCCACACGACAGGAACCCAGTCTTCCAGCAGCAAACCACCCCAGCCTGGTGCTGTTTTAAGCAGCATCACATCCTGCACCTGATTCTCTCTCCTGACTCCAGACAATCAGGAACTAAGACAGAAACTCCACCCTGCTGCAAAGGTCACTGTCATTCCCCACAGTGGGGGAATGAAATAATCCAGGCTATTTGTCCTTCTCTGGCATTTTTGCCACAACTTTCTCCTGTCCTAACATTACATAGGAAGGCCCCTTCCTTCTACTCACCAAAACTACAAAAAGCAACCAGAACAATGCAGGTGGTTAACAGGATGGAGTTCATCTTGCTCATGCTTCCTTCCTAGTCTGAAGGCATAAAGAGATGTTACATGTTAATTACATTTAAAAGCCACATGGAACTACCAAAATCCCCAGTGAGGAATCCGGGCTTGGAGATTTCAGCATGGAAATGAAAGGACTGGCCAGGGGAAACAGGAGGAGACCAGAGAGAAAAACAACTGCGCTTTTCAAGGGAGGATTTTTATTCTTTGAACAGGATTTTTATTCTGAGAATTGATATTCGAGCCCTGACAGGCTCAGCTGGATCTCATTTCTCCTTTCTGATTACACCATTCAACAGGTCTCCCTGTTCCTCACAGCTACAAATGCACCTGACAACAACAACAACAACAGAAAAGGCCATTTATGTCTCCAATCCTTTTTCTTTTACAGCAATTCCCCAGTAACCCCGGAGCCAGACTGTGCTCCTTTCACCGTGGTGCTGCAAAAGGTTTGGCTGCTCTAAAGGAGCTTTTGCCTGTCCTCTCCCAAAATTTCTCCCTCTCCCTGAGGGACTGACACATCCAATGACCCAGCGAGTGCCTGCAGCGACGGCTCCAGTCTCCAGGGCTGCTGCAATCCACGGCAGGATTTCCACGGGCAGCAGGGAGGTGGGAAGGGCAGGATTTCCACGGGCAGCAGGGAGGTGGGAAGGGCAGGGTATCCTTTGAACACAGGCAGCTCCAGAGCAGGAGTTATTGGACAGATTTCTGCACAGAGCCTGAACTGCAGCCACATCTCCCACTAAAAAAATCTCTGCTATTGCAGAGTGGGATGTGCAGAGGAGGCATCAGGAAAGCACAGAGGGGAGAGGGGGACCATTCTTGTGCTAGGAGGGCACGGTTTTATGTTTGTCTTCAAAGCCCAAGCGGGATTCAAAGTCTCAAAATATTAAAGGTATTCAGACAACAAGTTTTACACACGATAAAATCGTCACACCACAGCTCTTGACCCTGTTAATTCTGCTTGAAGCTATTCCTGCATGCAGCTATAACCATGCTAGGCTAGAGGGTTTTTCTGCCAGAAGACTGAAAACATGGTTTCGTAGCAAAACAATATTTAAATGCTTCTCATCCCTTTTAACATTTTTCTACTGACAACAACAACAACAAAAAAAATCCCATCCAACTGATCCAAAGAAATCCTTAAACAATATGTCAAGCACGCTCTTATTCTGGCCGGGAAGATGCGGGGGTTTTGCCCCACCCTTGCATTCCACCGAGAAAAGAAACACAACATGCTCGTGTACATTGGAAGGAGTGAGTTTCAGAATTATTTATCACAGACACTCTTTACGAAGCCTGCCTTATCTAAATAAACATTTGGTTGCCTAACTCCTATTCTTACTGCTATAGAATAGTTACACAAAGTTTTATCGTTTCAAAGATCTTAGGATTCCCCCAGCCCTCTTCTGTCTCCCTTGCGATGCTACACCCTAAAAGTCCTTCCCGCTTTCCCTGACACTCCCTTTTGTTTAAAAGCTAGCTTTATCTTAATTGTCCGCAATTTGGGCAGCAACCCTCGTTCAATCAGTTACAATTCTGTAAACTCGCACTAACATAGCTAAATTTTCCTAACATAGCTAAATTTTTATTTTATTTTATCTTGTCTTTATTTCACAACAATAAAAACAAAAAAAACCCTTCTCCATCAAAATAATAATAAAAAAACCCCAACACAACAACAAAAATCCCACTACCTTTTTTTTTCCTGTCTGCATGACCCACTGCAGAGCAGGAAAAGGAAGAAAAACATCATAACCATAATGTGCAGTATGAGTTGATTTTTCCGGGGTAAACAACTTTGCAAAAGAAGCCTTTCAGGGCCACGGGCTCGTCCCACAGTGACGTGAATCTGCAGAAGGGCTGTTGGTCTGGTGGTTACAGCAAGAGCCGTTCTGGCCAGCAAACAGAACCTCCCTGGGAATCTCTCCATCTTTCAGGAGTCCTCAGTCCCCCAATGTGTCAGCACAGGAAAACAGTCTCGCCTTTTAGCAAAACCAAGTCATGACTGGAATAAATATCAGGCAAATGAATAAAAATCATCAGGGCCAGTAGTAATTCAACCAGTCTGTTTCTGGGAAATGAGTAATTGTTTCTGT